GAAGACTACCTACCTGACGTTCCCAAGCCTCAAGGAAGATGTCACGTTTGTGATCATCGTCGGACAGGAGGCGGCGCAAATACTCATCATCATCTTCCGGATCTCAAGGGAGGAAGCGCTCAAGAAGGTAAGATCGAAAACTCCGAGAGATAGAAGACATAAGTCAAGATCACCATCGTCACGGAGAAGAAGGGCGGAGTCAGAATCTCCAAGGCGGTTCTCGAGACCATTGTGGGAGCAAAGACGGAATGATTTCCCCCCACCGAGAAATCGAACGTGGTTTACGGCGGATCTAAAGGAAGAAATCTGTAAGCTCTGCCGGGAGATGGACAAAGTTCTCAAGACACTAGAGCAACTCACACGAAAGACAAGTGAAAAGCAGCCATCTCTTCCGAACAAGGAAGACACTGCAAAGAAGCCTGAGCTAACTCCGGACGCGGTCAAGTCCATCATTGATGAAGCACTAAAGCCGACAGAGATGAACCAAGGGGGACAGAATCAAGTTGGTCCAAGCGCAACCGGTCAGAAGAATGCAGAGGCGGAAGATAAAGTAGAAAGTATGGTATCGGAAGTGCAGAAGGAGGTCAACAACCTGAAGCTACTAAAGTATGATCTGGCGGTTGTGAAGGGCGCGTTGCAGAAGATCAATGAACCGACTCGTACCTGCACTCTGATCTTGTCGTCTTCGGTTCATCCGAACGGATATGTGGGGAACAATGGCTGGACTACCAACTTCAGTACATGGTAGCCACAGCATTCCGAGCCGAAGCATGCCAAGCAGAAACGCACCGAACAAAAGCAGATTGGGACGCGTAATCCCTCCACACCCCAAGAGAGGACGAACGAAGATTAATCACAACGTGTCGACAGCGAAGTCGAAGGCAAAACGGAGCATTAATTTTGGGGTCGAACCAATGACGGACATGCAGCTACTTTGTCTTCACTACACGGACTTGAAGGTCTTATGCAAGATGCATGCCATCAGGTACAAGGACAAGCCGCAAACGATCTCGGCATTGAGGCAAGTTCCTGGATTGATCGCCTACAAGGGGCGGGACTTCAACCGGGATTCTGATCTTGAAACACAGATCATGCCAGATCTAGATAACATCAGAGTGCCCAATACAACTGGCGGCGACACAAGTGAGGATGATTACGAGAGCCTTAGTACAAGATCAAGCGGGAGTGATGAGTATGACTCATCCGACACATCTTCGAGCGTCGAAGATCTGTCGGGAAGGTAGAAGACACCTCAGCATCAGGCGACCTCACCACGACACAGAAGTGGGAGCAAATACACAGGCTATCAACGAAAATTGAGCAACTAGTTAGTACAGGGAGTTTCATCTTGGTGTAGACATATGTACGTGGGAAGGACAGGAAGACAGCCCGACAAGAGATGGACTGAACATATAAACTTGGCCAATAATCCAAATAGAGGAGCACAGCGGAAACTATACAGTTGGCTGCACGAATTTGGTTGGAAGAAATATGTTTTGATACCCATTTGGACGGGAGTGAGATCAGAGGTGATAGGGATGAAAGCAACACTGATTAGGAGACTGAATCCATTCTTGAATACAAGGGGAAAAGGCAGAAAGACTCGAAAAAACCGAAGACGAAGAAGGAGAAAGAGGAAGAAGAATGGAAACAATAAGGTGAATCAGAATATACCTGTTTTGTTTAAATCGGTTCGATCGGGTTACACTACGAAGGTAACATCAATACTTCAACCGAAAGCAATGATTTACTGCACAACTGAAAAATTATGGAATGAAAAATGGAAAGTAATTAAACGAACATTCGGATCAACAATTGTGGAAATTGACAACACAAAGTTTCAGCTAAAAAAATGCAGAAAACGAATCGAAAATGGATGTATCTTCTATGAAATCCAACCGGTGCATACGAGACCGAAAACAAATAAATATAAAAATATTCTGATTAACTGCTTGAGGGCACCATGAAGATGGAGAGAACTGTATAAATTATCGTTAGATGATATACTGATTCTTCTGTCAAAGGTGGGATCGGTTACCGGAAAGAAGCAAAAACGAACAATTTAAGGCATCTTCACACGAATTTCAAAGAATAAGTTTGCATTCAATATCAAGAGAAGAATGATATTTAAGATTTTATTTGATGCATGCATTAATATGAAGCAAGTGAGAAACAGAACAACCGAGTCTATATTGAAAAACGTAAGTAATAACAATTTGGCAAACGATTTGACAGCTCGGATGCGTGTGATGTTTAAAAAATCAAAGACAGCCGGGGAAATATTACACAATCACAGACATGTGCTTACAGAAGCACCGGACTGTAATTGTGAAGTATCCCGACTTCAAAAAATTGAGAACCACATTATCTGCAGATAAAGTAAAATAACAGAAAATCAGCTCTTGTGAAATGCAAAAAACGTACCCCATATGAACGAAAGAATTGGAAAGGAAGAAATTAAAAGGACAATCATCACTACCATTGCAAGTATACCACGACCAATAAGGAAGAAAAGATAAATTAAAATTGATGTCTCTACTTGCATCGAAAAGAAAAATGATATGAAAATTTTTCTTCACATATCAGAAGAATGGGATGTAAAAAGAAGATTGACACAATGTATCCTATCACCATTGGACATAAATCCTGGATTAACTTTTGTGGAATGCCGTAAAATCTGGTATGAGAAAACCCGAAAATTCTTTCCGGAATTGGATCACTACGAAATTATACAACAAACGGAATCTGAGATCACTCAATTGGTCAAAAATACGTATCATGGATGTGGGCTGAAGAAAATCGCAGCATGGGATGAACAGGGATCATACGAAAATGCGTATACAATTCCAAAAAACAAGGACGTCACCAGACGCCGACCAATTGTGTCGACATATAAGAAGTCATCTCGGAAAGCATCGAAGGTACTGTCAAGAACTATCAACTTCATGTGTCAAGCATTGAAAGTTGGTTTCTCACTAAAAGGAACGAACCAACTACTACCTAGACTGAACAAATGCATTAAGTAGCAAAAGAAACATACGAGGATATGACTACGATAATCTGCTCCACATACGATGTCAAAGATATGTTTTCGAATCTCGATCACACACATATCTTAAACGTCATGCAATGGATGATGAAAACGGCGAAAGAAAAACGAAAAACCCACTTCTGTTACAAAATGAGAGGAAAGTACATGAACTTTGGAAAAACAAACAGAACCTACGGATGAAGAACATTAAAAATTGAGTGCCTAATGGATCTGTTGTACTATGACATCAAAAACGCATACTTCAAACTTCAAAGTACAAGCAACATTATTATGCCAAGTAATGGGGATACCAATGGGGAAGGGCTCTAACCCACCCATTGCCAACATGGTATGCGCGTTCGACGAGTACAGATGGTGTGCGCAGACTGGAATTGATGAAAAACTTATCCACGATATGAGTTTTGTGGACGATGTAATGATGATGATAATAGCAAGTAAGGAACATCAAACGAAAGAGTTGAAATGTCTGAAATCTTTTCAAACATGCTACCACCAATCTCTAAAACTTGAAATCATATCAGACAACACGAACACGGAATGAACATATCTGGAAACAAGGGTGACAAAATAAATCAACGAACATAATCATAAGATATAATGAGAGTAGCTCTAGATTGAAGGCATGTTGGAAATCGACAACGTCAAGGACAACACAGAGAGCGACTGCAGGAGATCCTGAGGATAGATGATGAGTACACTGCAAGGATAGGGAAAGTGGCGGAGAAGGAGTGGGAACGAAGGGTAAAAATACTGAGGATAGTGGTTGAAATGATTACCTGAGCAGTGAGGTAGAAGGGTAATCGCAACTGGTCTCGCATGCCATGGACATTACGTGTGTGCTGTGAAAGTAAAACCTCGCACGTTCTGTCTACATTTGCATGTGTTTATCTCTCTCTTTCTCTCTCTCTCTCTCTCTCTCTCTCTCTCTTTCTCTGGTAGCCCCTCCCCCTCCCTCTCTCTCTATTTCTTTCTCTCTCTCACACTCATAACAATAAATGGAACAAAAACTCTCTCTCTCTCTCTCTATGTCTCTCTCTGTCTCTCTCTCTCTTTCTCTCTCTCTCTCTTTCTCTCTCTCTCTCTCTCTCTCTCTCTCTCTCTTTCTCTCTCTCTCTCTCTCTCGTGTTAGCTCTTAGTCTCATTGATTTGGCTACTTTAGGGCTGCATTCCCCGCGTCCACGCGGTAGACAATGGGACTTGGCCCCCGGTCTGAACTCGGCCCAGAGCGGCCCAGCAGAACTCTGTTCCTTATATGGTAACCTGGGCCTGGCACTCTCCTCCCTACCCATCCCTTCGCGGTCTACAGTCTTCGACGTGCGGTCATTATAGCTGAATTTTGGGCATATTTCAGTCTAAATTCAGCTAGAATGACAGTGCATTGTATTCGGGGGAAGACTGTAGTCTGACCGCCCACTGGAACCGAGTGCCCCTGGTTCGCACCAACTCAAACTACGAATTTAGGGCCAGATCCCACTGGCAAGGACGATTGGAATAAGTGTCTGAATCTGGACGTCTTACGCGCAGGGGATGCAGAAAAAAAGCAGATCAATCACAGTTTTCCGCACCTCGCCACAAACAGATTCAGACACTCATTGCAATCCTTTTTGCCAGTGGGGTCTGGCCCTTAGCCTACCGGGTAGTCTACAGTCTTCCCCCGAATACAACGTACGGTCATTATAGCTGAATTTAGACTGAAAGATACCCCAAATTCAGCTATAATGACCGTTGTAGCGTAGCTGTTTCCTGTTTCCTTCTACACACGCGGCCAGCAGCCCGTCGGGCCAGATTGTTTTGGGCAACCGCGACTGGGCGAGGCCTCATTGGGCCGCATTGGGCCGCATTGGGCCTCAGTGGCCGCGGACCTCTCCAGAACCGCGACGGGCCCAGCGCGGCACTTTCTCAATACTGGCAGCGGGCTCTCACGTAGGACCGTTACGCGAGACCCTAGGGGTTTTTACAAATTTCTGATGAAGCGGCATGCATGGTGCAGCAGGTGAATGAATGCTCGAGGACACAGCAGGTGGATGGAGGCTAGATGACAACAAGGTAGGTTTGCTCTCTCTCTCTCTCTCTCTCTCTCTTCGTGTTTCTTTCTCTATGTTCAATATGTGTCTCTTTCTTTAGCGACCTTCCCCTTCTCCCCCTTCGCTCTCCCTGTCTCTCTCTCTCTCACACACACACATACACACGCAACCACACAGTCTGGGACAGCCAGTTTTCTTCTTTTTGCGCCATCCTGAGGTCTCGCCGCAACGCGTCACCAATTCCGAAAAGACAAACGTTATGGCGGTGTACCCCTGTCAATGTTTCAGCAGAAGAATCGTTTCTCATTTTGCACATCTGGTCAGTGGTGCGGGGAGGGGGAGGCCATCAACCTCCTGATGAGTCGGTGACAGTCCGACGACACAGTCTGTCACAGGCAGTTTTCTTCTTTTTACGATGCGAAAATGTGCATAGCGCACATGACAACACCCCCCCCCCCCCCCCCCCCCCCCCCCCCCCCCCCCCCACACACACACACACACACACACACACACACACACACACACGCGTACCTTTTGTCTAACAAGTCCTTATTACAACACGAGTCTGTATTGATTGGTCGATACTCGACAAACAGCATTGAGAGGGGATTAACTTCCCGTCAGACCTCAGAAATGGACGTACAAGCACGTTTACAGCATCTACCTACTTGATGGAGGGCATCTACCACCTCCCACCAAGTGGAAGACCCTAGTGTATGAACCCCAAAGCACTTGGTGGCAGTTGGTTGAGCAGGCAGTTAGTTAAAAGAGTAGAGGATAAGCGCCATCCTTCTTTTTTTTTTTTTTTTTTTTTTTTTTTTTTTAACGAAAGGGCCGAGTGCCCAAGCGTCATCCTGAGGTCTACAGTCAAATCATGAGCTGGACCTAACTCGCATTGAGTACCGACTAAAACGCAGAGCAATCAAACCAAGGTCCGAGAATGGATACATTGCATAGCCGCCACCTCTCCCTCCCAAGAGTGAGGCTCCACCCCGGGCCTGCCACGTGGCGAAACGCCAGACACTTTCTGCAAAAAGGAGAGGCAGCCGTACATTAAGAGCCCCTCAGAACGGATTTCTGTAAACCATCCCGCCGCAGAGCACTGTAATCAAGTCAAATCAAGTCAAATGGAAACAAATCAATCAAATCAATCAAATCAATCAAATCAATCAAATCGATCAAATCAATCAAATCAGAAAAAAATCAAGTCAAATCAAAACTAATCAAATCAGATCAAATCAACTCCAATGGTCCAAGAATCCGATTGCATGTAGTTTTGTTCGAGTCCAACAATCGGATATCCTGAGGGAGAGACAGCCTACAGTCAGCCCCTCCTGGTAATCGGTCTAACAGGAAGGGAAAGCTGGGCGGAGAAGGGGAGAAGGGGGGGAGGGGGGGAGGGGGGAAGGGGGCGGCGAGAGGACAACAAAAGCAGTCGTCAGGCCCCATCTAGTGAGATCCTACAGTCCAGCTTGTGCCAATGAAAGCAAGCTACCACCCAGCATCGGCGTGAATTGGGAAGGGAGACTAAACTATCAAACTCATCACCTACTTCCTCCCCTCCCCTCCCCTCCCCTCCCCTGATTGAGCCACAAATCCCACTGTCAGCCTGAGCGTAAGAGTCGGTCAACCCCACTGCACCTCACCTCGTTTCCTTCCCGACTATCCCACCCACCCCTCCGCGCCATATCCGCTGAGCACCCGGGAATAGGGTATAGAATAGTTCTCAGCCAGGAAAGACATGCGCTCCCCCGCCGAGCAACCCCCTGCGCCCTACCCCTTGGGAGAAACCAACCCCCTAAACCCTACACCCTATTACCACTCCACAGGAGAACAGATGAGTGTCAAGGGAGGGGTAGCGGAAGCGAGTGACCCCCCTGCTAAGCCGCACAAACCTAAGGCTTTACCAACAGCCGCTGCTGTCCATGAAATTGGTAGAGTGATTTTTTTTTTTCTTTTTTTTTTTAGAGTGATGTTACTCTTACGTAGTGCTGTTGTTGATGTTGGAAGTGAAGTGTCGGCGTTATCATCGCTGTCAATGGGCATAATACAGCAATAAAGTAGCCGCCACCATCCTTCTTGGCGGTGATGAAGCCGTCGCCACTGGTGATTGGTATGGAAGACACAACCGCGGTCGAAGGTAATACAGTAAGTTAATAACCCACTTGTACTAGACATTGGCAGCGTCGTTGTTGATGGTAGTATACATGCCGTCGATGACGAAAATGGACGCTATCGTCGGCTGTGCTGATCGATAAGATGTAACCGCCGCCATGGCCACATCTCTCTCTCTCTCTCTCTCTCTCTCTCACACACACACACACACACACACACTCACGATGTTGTTGAAGATGTAGCTGCTGTTGTGTTTGATTGCGTTGATGCTATTGTCATAGAGGTCATGATTAGTCCTGGTGTTGACGTCAGCGGCAAGGTTGCTGATCCGGCCTCCTACCGGTAGTAGTAGCGCTGAAGCAAGTCTCTACCCCCTCCCCCCCCGCTCCCCCCCCCCACACGCCCCTCAGCGAGCAGCTCAAGACATTTTCGCTCCGTAAAGTCTCCTCCACCCATCCGGTCACACAGAGGTTGGGCCCAATTCAGCCTCGAGTCCCAGGCAGGGGGGGTGGGAAGAGATAAGGCACACCATCGCCCCCCAAGTTTCTCCCGACCTTCATCCAACTTCGAGAGCCTGACATTATGGGGAGGGGGGTGGGAAGAGATAACGGACCTCCAGTGGCAGCCCGCCCCTCCACGGAAGCCATGCGCGTGTCCAATGCGTCGCACCACAACTGTGGAGTCTTCCCCGCACCACACGTTTACCCCATTTCACGCGTCCGGATCGCGTCTTGCCC